GTTCTGAGAGACAAACAAGATCAAAGATAAAAGGGATTAGGTGAACAAACATACAGACATATCTTTAAGAAAATAAACAAGTGACCTGCATCCAAAAGAACAACTTGCGGTCGTCACTGTTGAACTTTAGAATAAACACCCTGTCTGAGGATTGATTAACCTAAACGGAAACAAGTAGGATGTGGTCACAATCCGCCAATTAATAATGCACATGCTAGTACTCAATTAACAGGCATACCTTTTCAAATAGAGCTTCATCTGGGAAAACAATTTGATCCTATAAATAGGTATCGTCAAGGAGAAAACTTCCTAATTGGAACATCTGAGAGCAACAATTAATAAATCCTAGAATTTGTTCTATTCATGCATGGCCAAAACGAAAAACAATCTCCTAGACAGATCGAGCTATGGAAGTTCGACTGTCTCGGGACACAAATACACTGGCCTAGCAAAGACTTGATACTTGGACAACCTTTAATCCATTTTTAAATTTAAAAAAAAAAAAAAGAGAAGTGAAAGGATACATCTTCTACTGTGTTCTGGTTTCGATCAAGCCACTGGAAATGAATCAGTCCCTCGTCACCCTAAAAGAGAGGAGGATAGGGAAAAAAAAAAAAACCCAGGTTAACTTTTACAGAGAACCAGTAATATACATGTACGTATTCTAACACAAACAATTAGAGTCTGAGATGCTTTAACTTCAATAGGAAAAGCTGATACACTCTAATGTTCAACGGAAGAAAATTCAACACGAATAATTCATATGTGAACTAAATGGAAACTAAAAGTGTCGACATTACTCTAGCTATGCGGACAAGTCCTTTTCGTGCATCAGGGACAACTCTTGTTCCCTGCAAAGACATCTTCCCAGCACGAAACTCAAGCATGATCTCCTGCCAAAATTAGTCCAAACATAAGTGGAAGAACCTTCGTAATTACTATAAGAACAAAAAGAAAAAGATAAACATTGATAGTTGGATTATTGTTCTCTACAGCATTTTATACCAACCAGTTTGATATTTTAAAACACAATACATAAAAGTCTTGCATCTCCATGGAAAGCATCATAATTCATTCAGATATCAGATTCAAAGTCTATGAACAAAAAATGGCACTTTTATTCTAGAATCCGAAGAAAATCTCTAGTTACCTGCATCACGGGAAACGCTTCACTTGAACCCATAATCACCACCTCTTTCTAATGAACACTAAAGCAAAGAATTAAATTATTCAGTAAACGGAAAAATCGCAGTAAATTCAGCTTCGTATGTATAATAAAGATAACGAAATCCATGGAAATTGCAAACCAATTCTCAAACAAAGTTACTAACAAAGGAGATTGAAGCGAAGATACAAAACCCTAGGGTAACAATCTTCGCAGAAATCGAAAAAAGAAAGAAAGAAAGATTTTGACAACCTTAAGGCTAGTGTGTCGAGAAGGTTAAAGAATACCTAGCAGAAGAAAGTTAGGGAGGAATGAATACCTAGCTTCTCGTTTTTTCTTTCAATTGCGTTGTCTCTTGTCTTTTCTTTTTTTCCTTTCTTCTTGAATAAAAATACTAACTTCCTCGGAACAACTCCAAGCCCAACCAGGAATTCTTTCTTTTTAGGCTTTTAATTTCTTTTGTAAGTTTTTTTTGGGTGATTTTAGGTGAATATCCATATTTGATAAATAAATTAAGAATATAACATTATACATCTATATCTATACTAATATTTTTAAAGTACATTTTTAGGGGATAGGTAAAAAAAATTTCGGATACAAATGGTATCCGACCCATTAAGAATTTTACTTCATATATCTTACACCGGATAGTTCATATTTGTTTTGGATCGGATCAAAACATATCCGAAATTATGAACCGGATATTCCATATTTAAAAATATAGATATTTAGAAGATTTGATTAAGATTTAGAAATATAATTCTCCTATCATCTTTGTTTGAACATTTTTAACTGTTTTGAATCGTCAAATAATACATACAGTTAAAAAAAATCTCAATTTTTTTCTGCATATATTAAGATTAAAATTTTTTAAAACGGATATATATTACCCAATTGATGAAAAAGGTGTCTGTTCAACGTCCCATATCGGCAAAAATGTTTAGATATTGATTCAGAATTATATTATAAATAAGATCAAAATTCGAATGAACAAGAAGCTCAACTTAATAAGCATCCAAATTTAAAATTATATACAATTTCATTCAGTTTTTTTATTTTAATTGCTTAATTTTACCGGAAATGTTAAATTTTGAAAACTTTTAAATAATATAATTTATATATTTAAAATCAATAAAAAGTTTATTATATTATTAACATTTGAACATATATAAAGAGTTAAAATAACAAGGTTATATAACGGGACAAGCTTTTAAGAAGTTTTAAATATTATAATTCATATATTTAAAATCAATAGAAAATTTATAATATAAAAACATTTGAATATATATATATATATATATATATATATATATATATATAGTAAAAATAACATGGGATGGTTATATTGCAGGACGGGGTTATATGATAGGACGAGTTTGAATAAAAAAAATTAAAACATCATTAACCCGCTGCTTCAATACGGTTAAATTTTTATTTTATCATTGTTTTAACACCACCAATATTAGACATATCGAATGATCTTGATTAAAGTAAATTGTATAAAATAATATTTGGCATGTAGTATACCGTTACTTAATAACAATTGTAAACTATATAATATAAATGTCTTATAAAATGATACAATTTGCAAAAAAATTTATATAATATATAACCATTAAATTTTAAAAACCACTAATTTTAAAAACAAATCGTCCCGCGGTAAAATCACGAGTTAAAATCTAGTTAGTATTTATAAGTATATTTTTAACGAGTGGGGCAAAATACATTTGGATACAATGGGTATCTGACCCGTTTACAAATTTTGGTCATCAAAAGTTTGTTGGGTCGGGTTATATTTCACCCAAATCATACATCGGATATTTTATATTTAATAATTTAGATATTTAAAAGATTTGATTAAAATTTAGCTTGTTGGATCCGGTGGCGGTTCTAGTTCTTATACCAAATCATACACACGAGATCTAGTCTTATTTGACTCTAAAAAGGCTAACCAAGCTTCTTATTGTTTCTCAAAGCTTTGTGAGTGTAGCCGAAGTCCTATGAGTTTTCAGTTTTGGAGCTTCTAAACGGAGAAACACTACTTTAGCTTTTGGGATCCGGTTGTGGTTCTAGTTCTTATACCAAATCATACACACGGGATCTAGTTATATTTGACTCTAAAAATGCTAGCCAAGCTTCTTATTGCTTCTCAAAGCTTTGTGAGTGTCGCCGAAGTCCTATGAGTTTTCAGTTTTGGAGCTTTTAAACGGAGAAAGACTACTTTAGCTTTTGGGATCCGGTTGCGGTTCTAGTTCTTATACCAAATCATACACACGAGATCTAGTCATATTTGACTCTAAAAACGCTAATCAAGCTTCTTATTGGTTCTCAAAGCTTTGTGGGTGTGGCCAAAGTCCTATGAGTTTTTAGTTTTGGAGCTTCTAAACAGAGAAACACTACTTTAGCTTGTGGGATCCGGTGGCGGTTCTAGTTCTTATACCAAATCATACACACGAGATCTTGTCATATTTGACTCTAAAAACGCTAACCAAGCTTCTTATTGCTTCTTAAAGCTTTGTGGGTGTAGCCAAAGTCCTATGAGTTTTTAGTTTTGGAGCTTCTAAACAAAGAAACACTACTTTAGCTTGTTGGATCTGGTTGCGGTTCTAGTTCTTATACCAAATCATACACACGAGATCTATTCATATTTAACTCTAAAAACGCTAACCAAGCTTCTTATTGGTTCTCATAGCTTTGTGGGTGATACTAGGATTTTGACTATCAATTACCCTAGATTACTATCATGTCATTGCAGTAATTTAGGTTATCAATCCAATCAGGTGCTCTCACTATCAATCAAGATGTGCTCAGAAACAACAAAGTCAAGCCAAGCAGAATAGAGGTTTGTTTATCTAACAATCCTAAGCGATCATGCATAAAAACGAATAAACTACGGAACAGGAATGAACATGCATAAAGAGAAACAACTATCAAAACTAAGCAGTAATAAGCAAGCAGGTCGAGTAGAACACAGAAGCTAACAGAAACGATAAACGACCAAGCAATAGAGATAAAAGGTCTTGAGGAATGGGGTAATCGATTATAGCAGTCTCCTTAGTCTATCTAGGTGGTTAACAAACTCAATCAAGCTATCCCTAGACAATAGATTCGAATACAAATCAATCCACTCTCGTGACAGAGATTCTCAAGCTAAATCACTTTCATACTCAATTCTCATTGAAGAAATATAACCTAGCAGGCATTATGATTCAATCTAATATAGTCAATAAGCATTCTAAACATCCAATCTCTTGGGCTAGAGTATGCAAATCTCTGGAAAAGTTTGTTCAGACATTTCATCAAACACCTTGTGGGCATGGAAATGTCTGAAATCAATTTCCAATTGATCAGAAACACTACAAGAAAAATGAGCATCGGTAACACACGAAAACTGCTACTAAAGGGATTTCGTAGCGAAACTACAAACGCTGTATAATGAGGAGCTACGGTAGACCCCCCCCCCTACCGTAGCAGTTTTTACGCGCTATTGTAAATTGACCTATTATAGCACTATTACTCAGCTATTTAATATTCTTAACTAGCGCTTTATTTTTGCTATTATGTTATTTTTAATAACAAATATTTCGTGCTGTGTAACTTGTAATGATAACACACTATATGTGCTGGTGGATATTATTAACTAGCGCTTCACTCGTGCTATTATGTTTGTTTTTATAGCAAACATTTTGTGATGTCTAACTTGTAATGATAACACATTATATGTGCCGGTGGATATTGTTTCGTGACATTTTGTTAATGCTTGTTAATGCTGCTGTAATGTATATTATTATGTGCTATATTTCAATTATTTGAAACCTATATTGCACAAAACATAGATTGCAAATTGATTCATAAATAAAATTAATATTATATAAAACATACATTTTACAAAGAATCATTCTATCAAATACCCAAAAGATACAAAGGCTTGAATCACCAACCAAGTCATAAAGAAAAAAAAACGCAAGTACATTTCTTCACCAAACCAAGTCATAAAGAAACCGAGGCAGCTCTAGTAGATCTCCAACTCATACCATTTAATAGCCAACGCCATTCCATCAGCAGATCACCTTAGAGCCTTTGGCTTTGTGTGAACTCTCTATTTCTTCATAGAGTCACAACGCATATACAGAGACCAATAACAATTGCCATGCCTCAAGGATCTTGCTGAACTCAAGCTTGTGATCGTTCTTGACAGTTGTCAAACATGAACAACCTGAAATCAAGAAACTGAAATAACATAAGCAGACATACATAGTTAACTAAGAGAGACACAAGCAAATCGATTCTTTCATTACCTCTCCATATTTAACTAAGGTGCCGGGTATAACGCACCTTGAAGAGTTTCTATATTCGTTTTAGTTTCAGAGATCTGGCACAAACCATAAATGTCAATATGCATCTCAACGATAAATCGATGAGCTTAAGAAGAAGCGACACCTGCGACCGAAAATCAGGGGAATAAGCTCTATGAAAACAAAAATACAGCGACTGAATAAGACCGTTGTGGTCGCTCACGATCTCCTAACGAACAAGGCTGATATCTCCAGGGGCTATACAAGTGATGCGTACAAACAAACTTCAGAAAACTCTTCAAATCGAGTAAGGCTTCCAGATCTATTATAACAAAAACTGAATTTACAATCAATTAAGTGAGCAATGGAGAAGAGAAGAAGATAAAGAGACGACCTGCGGACTTATAGGCGGAGGCGCGACGGATTAAGCAATAGGCGAGGAAACTCTGCGGTGCGCCGCGACGGCTTTCTACGATCTTAGAGAAATGGCGGATCGACTCGGAGTAGAGACCGGCGTCGAATGCTGCGAGCGCTGCCGTGCGCCGTCGGATGAAGATTTTGATTTGGGAGAGCATTTGCGAGACGATCTCGGATTCGGTCATTGATGGAGGCTGAGATGCGGAGGTGGAAAGGATGAAACTGTCGTCGGACAAGCAGTAGCTTTCGCGGTGGAGCGCCGCCGTGGCAAGGCTTTTACTGGTTTGGAGTAGAATCATTGCGTCTTCCATTAGACCTAGATGGTAACAAGCTTGACCCAAAACCACGTATCTGTCACAAGGAAGAAGTGAAAAGAGAAAACAAATTAAAGTAATATTAAATTTGTATCCGTAGATTCATTTTAATCAATGGTCCATATTAAAAACAACACGCCACATCAGCGATCCGAATGATCTTTTTCTATTGGTTATCGGGTTATTTATTTTACACCATTGGCTAAGGACAATAACGGCTCAGATCAAATTTAGCGAGACAGATCAACGGTGTACATTAATCGCGTCAACAATAAGAAAGGACGGCTGAGATCAAAGTCGGCGCTATCTAACGGTGTAGGATTCGTCCCACAATCTGGGAGGTTACTTCTCATTGGCTATTAATGAAAAAATCAGAAAATTATCATATAAATTAGTTTATTAATGAAAAAAATATTAATTATTTCTTTAAAAATTCAATATAAGTATTTCAATTTTTAGAATATTTTTTCTTATAAGTATAAAATTTTAAAATTAAGAACAATTAATATAGGTTAGTATTCCAACTATCTAACTTATATGTTCATAAACACTAGGGCATAGTTTAGGGTTTAGGGTTTAAACTTTGGGGTTTAGATTTTTTTATTCAAGTATTTATGTTTTATAGTTTAGGATTTCAAATTTTAATTTAGGATTTTAACTTTAATTTAGGATTTAAAGATTTAATTTAATTAGGATTTTAACTTTAATTTAGGGTTTAGGGTTTAGGGTTTATGAAGATTGTTGATTGAAAATTGTTGGAAACGTTTTATTTATTTATACAAATGATAAGAGTACATATGTGACAAAGATTTATACAATGAAAACTATATATTATAAAGCTTATTTTACTGATTCTTGATCTTAAGAATCTCCAATTACCAAAAAAAAAAAAAAAAAATCTCCAAATAAAACCCCTTATTAAGGAAATTAATGACAAAAACTAGAAGGTGTTATTATAAAAGTATCATAAAGAGGATACAAGCAATCAAACTCCAATTGGCAATATGACAATGGTTTTGACATCTTCTTATATTTCCCACAGGGCACTTCAATCCAGTTTCCTCCCACAATATTGCAATCAATCATAAAACGAAGATCGAAAGGAACAAATTTTTGAACCTTGATACTTCTATTGGATTCCCTCATTCTTTCCTGAAAAAACAAAATATGAACTCTGATCTTGGAAATAAACTACAGAAATCTTCGAAAGTAGCTCAATACTGAAACTGATTTTATAAACATCGTCTGCACCGATTTCATGAGGGCACGCAATGTAAAAGCACGGCTTAAACCCATGAACACGGCAACATACACTGTAACCTGACATTTATGAGTATAAATCAATCAATTAATCGTTCAACCATCTCTAGACATAATGGCATAACTAATAAAAAAAGCTTCACCACTGTTAACAAATAACTTGAATCATTTGGCAATGCTCAGATGCTAACCAGAATACTTATGAACAATTGAACAATGTTTGTTATAATATTGTTGAGAGGAGGAAGAAACAGAGTAAGAGACCATTGTCTCTTCTCTTTCTAAACAAGACAAGAAGTAAAACTGAAACTTTTATATATCTCCGACACTTGTTATTTACATCAAGACTAACTTTGGTTTATATATGGAAAACAAATAGCTAGGACACACTACAAGAAAATCGTTCATTGATAGCGCAAAACATATGCTATCTTATGTTATAGATAGCGAAATCACAAATGCTATGACATCGACAGCTATGGTAGGTGTTTCCCCTACGATAGCATTATTTTGATATGCTATGATAGTTTTAGATACAATAGCTTTATTTAACTGCTGTTATTTGTTTTGATATAGCAGCTTAAATTTTTGTTAAAAAGTAACGACAATTCAAATTTCGTGCTATAATAGGTTCTTCTACGTTAGCAATTAGTTCTTGCTGTCTAATTTTGTTTTGTAGCTTCATGTTTTGTGCTATAATATATGATTTTCTACAATGACAGTGAAGAATTGCTATACTTAATTTAATTATGGCTTTTAATTTTGCTATTATATATATTTTCAAAGAGCTATCTATTTTGATTCTATACCTGTTTTGCATAATATAAACATGAAAACATAAGTCTGAATATAAATTGTAACATAAGTCTGATTCCAATTCAAAAGTTAGAAAGTTATACAAAATCATTCAACATAACAAAAGTCTAAATCCAAAAGACATAACAAGTCTGATTCCAAAGTACATAACATAACCTGATTAGTCTAGTCTTAAACTAATTAAAACTACCTAATCTGGACCAAAGTTTCTTCATTCCCTGCAACAATCAACAAAGTCTCATATCAGTAGCAGATATAAAAGCAAAACACAAGCATCACAGTAATTACAAAACTTACCCCAGTTTCTTCATCTACTCAATAGATGACCAACTTATCCATTGGCCATGCAATAGATGAACCAAGTGAATCTCTCATATACTCGATTTCATCTGATGGCCTCCAAACTGCTGCATCATCTATCTTCACTACATCTACCCAAACTCTAGCTGCATTTGCCCCCAAGCGAACATGGTGTACCTTTTTGTCTGGGTCGATTGAATGCACACGTCCTTCACCAACCACCCGCCTCTTTCCACTAATATCCATTAACTTGCACTTCTGATTAGCCTTGATAACTTCAGCTCCAGTTTTACGCTGCCATATTACAATATAAACAGGTTTAATTCATGTATAATAATAACCAGAATCAGTAAGTAACAACATCTGCTAAATTTACCGGAGATCTTCGTAGAGGGGAGTGTGAAGCTAACTGACTTTTCTTTACAGGAGGCTTTGAACATGTTGCTGGAGACTTCTCAACAAGAGATTTTGAAACTGTGGCTGCGGATTTCGTTCCTTTTGTTGTGGCTGCGGATTTTGATATCTCAACAGAAGACTTATAACCAGCTGCTGCATTTAGTGGACCTGATGATGGTGCTTTTCCTCCTGATGCTGCTGCCTTTTCTGTTGTTGTTTGATGAGTTGATGCAGAAGCCTGATGAAGTGGAGACTTTTGACATGTTGCATCTGCATGGTTTTCAAAGACAACTTTGTTGGCAGGCCAAGCTACAAAAGACTGTAAACAGTCCTCAAGGTACATGACATCAATCGTTGGCCTCCATATAAATGTCTCAGGTTGAATCACTGCATCCACAAATATTTTCACTGCTGCTGGTCCGAGAGGAAGCCCATTAACTAATGCATTGGCATCTTGTGTCTGCCAATGTCCTTCTGCAACAACAACATCATATGACGACAAATCCAGTAGCTTGCACTTGTTCACAGAATTAGGTCTTGATCCCTGTCAAACACATTCAACCAGTGTTAACATATACTTTCTATGTATGAGTATGAGAATGAGTGATAAAGTTTACCAGGGTTGCAATGTCTTCTGGTTGGAGCTCCTCTTCTAGATTAACACACAAACTAGATGGCCAGGCCACCATATGTCCAACAGCTTTCTCAATGGTGCACATGTTAATCGTAGGTCTCCAAAGGAATGCTTCTGGTACAATAGCAGTGACAATCAAGACTTTAACATCCATAGGGCCTAAGCGACTTTCATTAACTAATTCATCAGGATCAGAAGACATAATAAGCCCCTCAGCAACTTTTTCCTCAGAACCAGCCCAATCAATCAAGACACACTTTGGTTGTGATCTTTTATTCACACTCTGTAAAAGTAATTAGAAGAAAAATATATTAGATTATAAAGTAACAAAGAAATCAAAAACATTTGATATAAGTCACTTACTCTTGCAGCTGAGTTTTCACCAACCTCAGGTGATTGTCTCTGTTACATAAATAACAAAGTCAAATACTATGAACTATTTGAGCTTCTTTATGTATAAATAGATAAGCTTCACAATGTATAAATAGATAAGTTTCTAACCTGATTCTTCATTTTCAGAATTACATCTTCTAACTCAGTGACCTTCTGCTGGAGCTGAATCTGATTCTCTTGCATTTGAGCCATACACTTGTGCTTCACTTGGAAACAAGCTAACTTGGTCTTATTCATATTTCTACCCATTGCCCTCATTCTACCAGGATTGTCAGGCCCTAACAGTTGGCTAAGTGAATCTTGTTGTGCTTCATTTGTTGCAGTCGATGGATCATCACTGTTAACAATCTCATTTGCCTTTTTCTGCAACTCATAAGATACAGATTCAATAGCAGATTAAGAATCAAATGCCAATATGCACATCATTAGAAGCAAAATTTTAAACTCACAATCTTTTCAGCAGCATTAGTGTTCACTGGTGTACCATCTTTCTTGGTACGTGATTTAACCCAAACCTTTAGCCTTGTCACTTCAGATGGGTCTGCACTACCAGTTTTCTAAACCAAACAAAAATCATTACATATTAATAAGTGTTTTAAAAAGAAGCTGAGCAATATAAACAACATAACTGTCATGTGATTACCATATCTTCTGCTAGTCTAACCATTCCCTTGCGACTACAAGTGTGAGGAATTTGTTTGCGCCTTCTTTCCTTGTAGCTATCGCTTACAACCTAACAGATGAATGTTAACTTGTAATATACTATATAGTACATAAACTTAATTATCCTGATTCCATATGCATACCTTAAATTCTTGGCTAGTTTTGAGCTTCACAAATTTACGCCAATCGGTTGGAGAAACATTTTTAAGTCGCAAATTCATCCTCTGCTGGTTAGTCTTAGCTTCTCTGATGTTTGTAACTTGCTTTGATTTCCAGGACCTCCACAAACATCCCATCTGCTTAAGCACTGCAACCTTTTGGTACTCTTCATTTAGTTCAAACCTAGCCTGCACTCAATAGAAAAAACAGTAAATTTAATTACAATATCTGATAAAACGTAATGCAATACAAGAAAAATTAGAGAAATGATACCTGGACAGATTTCCAGAGAAGTGTCTTGATTTCTTCACCTATTTTTGTCCAACGATCAATTGTGATAGGAACATGTTCTCGGACCAATGCACCAACATATGATGACAGCTTAACTGACCCTTTACCAATAGGCTCTC